TAGAAAAATATCTTAAAAGCGTGTCTGATTATGTCATTTCTTGTAATGGTATGTTTTTATTTTGTGTTTCCTGAAACTGCAAATTACAAAGCTCTAAAACACAACTTGAAAATTCTTCCAGTTTTCAGAGTTCGAAAAAGAAACACTGTCAGGGAGAGTTCTTGGAAAGATAGGCCTGTACAAGAGGTACTTTTTGTTACAAATAAGTTGATCTTTGAGAAGTATAAATGTGAAAAACTTGAAATTATGCGCAAATGATAGTGCAACTGAGATGACTAATAGAAGTTGGTAATGATGTTAATAAGTCTGATATTACTGCTACTTTCCATTATAAATGAGTACTCTCTGTCAATTCTTTGTTGATAATCTTTTCTTTATTGTCAGAGATAAATAATGGAAATACTGGTGCTTGAATCCCAGGTTTGAACATTCCTTTCTTTCACTTTAACAGGTTTTAGGACTGGTGCAAAATATGAGTGTTTTCCAGTGTCCCAAATGTAAGCATGAGACACATATTTTTGGAGCTGATGGTGTAAAAGATCTAGCGAAAACCCTTGGATTGGATATTTTAGGTAAGGATATAGAAATGGTTTTATTTTTGAAGAAAAATTCAATGGCGTGCATGAGGGAAGCATTAACTGAAGTATGGAACTGCATAATCCTAGATTACTCTATATTCAGACAGTGTTCAGATACAATAGAGCTAATAACTTAAGTAGTTGAATGTCATGATTTTTGTATGCTCTGTTCCTTATCAGGATCATTCTGTTAAATGGGATATGGACTGGATGTGAAAATGCTTGAATTGCATCTTAAATCTCCTTTGATACATAAACAACCCAGAACATGAATTGTTTTGCTGTCGATGTGCTGTATTACCTGAAAATCATTATGTTATTGATGATACAACAATTTTTACTAATAACCAAGAATTCTATTTAGTCTTGTAAACCAGAACTAAACTCTGTCCATTAATGTCAATAGAAGTTTTCTCATTTATTTTATTTAAATGAGATGAGTTGTTACATATTGAAATAAATATGGTAATTTGAAATGCAGTCCCTTAAAGCAGTTGGTTTTATGCCCATGTGAAGATACCTTGACTCTTGTATGGAAGCAAGCAGACTGTAATGGTTGTATTTAAGTGCTGAGATTACAAGAATACACTGGATTGCAAAATGTTGTTTCAAAAGAAAATTTATTGTTACTGAAAGCAAAAATTAGCCATGATTAAACAATCTGGCACCCCTATAAGCTAAAATGTACATTGATCTTTAAAATATACATTGCTATTTTAAAAAGGCATATTTCAACCTGTGCTGTCAGTAAAAAAAAAAAAATAAAATTACAGAATATAACAGCATAATTAAGTTGGTAAATGGGATAATTGCATGTGCTAATGATGTGTTTCCATGTATTACTATAATTATCTCAATGATTTTCCATAGCTAATTCATTAAAAAAAGAACCAGGAAGCTCACTTAGAAAGATCAACATAGAAACATCAAGGTCTGACATAAACTTAGATGGCAAGGCAACACATAATTAAAGACATGCTTTTGGGCTATCTTTGAGTTTTCTGAATACATAATGAGTTGTGATCAGAGCCCAAGGGGACTTCTACAGCCCTGGGTTATGTGGATGCATGCAAATCCTCTGCAAGCAGTTGAATCAAACATGCATTTAGATACACAGGCACAAATGATGTGCCATGCCATTGGTCCCATAAATGGTTTTTGTTACTCCCTAAGAGGGCAGAACCAATCGTGAGTGTATTTCATTGGGAGTAATGTGGGAGATTTACAGGTTTAGCAGGGAATGGGTGAGATATATGAAGAAAAACAGAGTGAAGTTTACCTTCAAACTGTCAGTGAAAAACCAGACTAAGATTAAGAATGATGCCCCAAGGGTTAAATTTAGAATTATAGTACTTGATCTGATTAGTATGCTCCTCCTTCCAGGGATTGCCATTATATAATAATACCATATGCTATGATAAGAATTACTGCTTACAGACTTTACATTAATCTATCCCAAATGGAAGTTTTATCCCAATGTTATTTGAATTCTGCCCAGAAGCCTCAAGAACTCATTTTTTTTTATATATGCATAGAAAAATGTATATATTTAAAATTACTATTTCTAAATTTATTTTGCTTATATTTTGCAACACCCATGGCTGTTCAGTTTGTTCACCTAAGCACCTGCACCTCTTGTGAAACCTGACAAGGTTTTCATTTCCATGATAACATCTGACAAATTCTGCAAGCTAACAATGTGCAGGATAGAAAAGTATTTTCCTTTTGTTTGCTCAGAATTGTCTGCCTTTAATATTACTGAATACCTTCTTTATTTTTGTTTATGACAGAAGACAATTAGTAGTTGCCAGTACACCTTTGAGTGTAGTTCATTATTTCATAATAATGAAAGTCTTGTCTTTTTATTGTTCCCTAAAGGAAAGCATGCCAAAGTTTGTGAGAAAGACTTTGTGCTGCTGATTGTTTCTCTCCCAGTCTCTGCAGTTACCCTATTTTGCTTTCTTTTTTTTTTCGAAGTTTGATGACCACAACTGTGACCAGAAAGCTATACCATTGATAGACATAACACTAGAATAATTTCTGTACACTCCTTCCTAACCCTTGCACTTCCTAACTTTTTAAACTATCTGCTAATAGAATCAGCAATGATTCTCACACTTTTAAATTTTTTTGGTTTTACTTCCTACAATAAATTCTAATTATTCTTAGCACTTACCTGTACTTTGCAGTTAGAATTAATTGTCATTATCAGAAAAAATATGATGGCAAGTTCCTGTCACATTCTGTAGTGAAAAATAGTGCAAAAACGTCATCTTCCTCAAACCCTTATCACCCAAACAGCTGTGTGGATGCCTTTGCTGTCTTTATGCTTCTGCTTATTTTATAAGGTTTTGATTTTAAGATAAGATTGCATTTTGCTTTGTCTTCTGACTTGCACTTTTGCTCATACAAGTCCTGTTATGCTCCTGTAGTACCAGGACATCTTTGTAAGTATGAGGAAGAAAAGAGAGAGGCTGTCATTTTGTAGTAGGGCAGTTCTTTTTGTAATTCTCCGAGATTGTTATTAAGCTGATAGCAAAGAAGTATTTTTTCATTAACAAAACATCCTTGGGGAAAAAGTGAAGATTAGTCTCTGCATAAAATAATGGTAGGAACTAACTTCTGGGAGATTTACAAAGCTATTGTTATTCTATTAAGAATGTTTAAGGTTAAAAAAACTTTCAAAGGACCCCCTAAATATTTTTTCATTAATAAATGAACAGACTTTTATGCCTAAAGAAATTTATTCATGACTGAAACAAATAAGAAACAATTAAATTTGAAGGAAATGGACTGTAATCACCATAAATAACAAATTGAAGTTCTTCAAAGATTCAGCTCACTAATCACGGAGCCACAGCTTTTGTGTTTGCTTTTTGGTTTTTTGTTTGTATTCTGCTCGCTTTCAGTTCTGTTTTTTTATCTCTTAAGCTGTGTCAATTTTCCTACTTTTTTTAACCTTTCTTTTTCTGACTACATTTAACTTAACACTGGCCTTGTTTTGGGTTAAATAAATGCTGCTAAAGTGTATGAATTAAACTGATACAGTTTCTGAGGCTAGTCAAGATTGAACTAAGGTAGGCTGTTCTGTCTACATCTATCCATGAGGTAAAATGTAGCTGTGTATTCCATTAAAAGAAAGTTGGTGTTCAGTTCTCTTCATAATTATCTATGTAGCAATGAACTAAACATGGGAACTTCAAGTTTTCTTTAGTACCTAAAAAGTGTATTTCAGAAAGGAATAGGGCTACTAATTGATTCTCCTTTAGAGCCTTCCTTTCCTCTCTGACAGTTCCCCGCTCATTATAAAAGCAGAATATAAAGAAGATTTCTATTGGAAACAAGAATGAATTGAACAGTTGTCTACCTTTTAATTGGAACCAAGGCCTAATAAGGACAATAACAAATGCCATTATTTGGAAATCAAGTATTCAAAGTCATCTTTGAACAGTGATTAAAATCTTAAAACAGCACTGAAAAGAATATACAAGGATGAGATAGGCTGAACAGTCAGTTGCATGATGAACATTTACCTAACACTCAAGCAATTTTTTTTATGTACGCAAAATAATTTGTATCTCAGCCTATGCTTTTCTGTGTATTTGAGGGGAAAAAAGCAAACTGCCTTCTCTAATAAATGACTACAAAGCTTAGTCCTTCCTATTCAGAGAATGACAAATCCAGAATAATCATTACGGTTGTACAGAAACTGTACTGCAGTCAATTTTCATTTTAAATGTTAATTTATTTGAGATTAAGTAATTCAAAGAATATACTGAACTGAAACTTGATTTCAAGTTGTTTTAGGGATAATTTAATGAAACATTTAAGAAATATTAGGTCTTCACATTTGTGTATTTTGGTATTTTTGATACAGGAGACATTCCACTGCATGTTAATATACGGGAGACTTGTGATTCGGGACAGCCTGTTGTGGTCTCGCAGCCTCAAAGTGATGCTGTAAGTTTGGTGCACTGCACTTAAATCAACAAAAAAGCCCTCCTCCAAAAGTGAATAGAGTGCTTCTCATTATTACTTTTTGAAAAGAAATGTGTATCTGAATGTAACTTAGGGAAATAAAGTAAAAGAGGGTAGTATCAGCAAGTAACTCAGGCCCTTCATTTTGGAATGCTAGTCATCCGCTTCTGTGGGTTTGGTTTTGTTTAATTAGTCTGAATCATTCAGAATAGCAAAGATTTGATCCAGAGGCATGCCAAGCGGAGGAAGGTCAATGTCAAGCCTCATGAGACTTTGCAGCTAATGTAGGTCCTCTAAAACTGTCAGCTTAGCCTTTGGTAGTTAAGCCTGGAAACTGTCAAAGGGTCCTATCAAAAGATGTTTGGAACAGAACCTGTGTATTGTCAATATCTGGGTTGTTCTCATTTTTTTAATTTACGCACAAGAGGAAATGGATTTATGTGTGCCTTTACCATAACATTTTATTGCCAAAGGAAAATCCGAGTTGTTGAGGTGATGGGAGTTGAATATGCAAGTCTGCAAAGAAAAGCAGTTGCACGTATAAAACTTCATTAATGCTGATAGAAGATTTTCCTGGCTAGTATTTTCTCTCATGCCTCTGCTGGAGTTTGTCTGCCAGGCTCTGTAGGGCAGAGTGTTGTCTGCCACTTTGTATTTGGACAGTATATGGCATGATACAGCCTCACTCGTGACTGCTGCTAAGATGTTACCATAAAAAAAAAAGTGATTAATGCTGATAATAGATAGTAGAATCAATTAGAGATAAGGTAGAATGTACAAATAAGGTAACGTTTCTAATACCATCATTGCTAGGCATGTGCTGAAAAGTTTTGTTCCTTCCCATTCTTTTAAGAGAAAAAAAAAAAAGGATAATCCAGTGTTACTAAGGTACTGATTGGGATTCCGGAGGAACAGTGATAGTCTTCAAATTGTCATACATCATTTTGTTTCGAAAGCAAAGCAGCAGCACTATGGCATGTTGGTTTCCAATTGAATGCAATATTTTTGCTAGGCTTGGGCAAGGTCTGTGCTGATCCTCTGTGGAATAATGTAGTGATCTTGAGTCTAGATCCTTGTGAAAAGGAGTAACTATAATCAATACGGTAGTTTCTGTCTGGGAAGTTTGATCAGCAGTGTGAAGGTTTGAACAGATGCATGGCTTAGGTCAAAGTTGAAGCAAAACGGCTGATCGCAAACCAAGATGGAAGGCTCACAGCTCACAGTATCTGAAATCTATAATAACCAAGAGTCTGTAGCCTGCAGGATGATCAATCTAAAAATTCAGACATGTAGAATAGCATTCTGAAAATTAAAAAACCCAAGAAAGTCTGTTGTGTTGCCATCTGTTCCTCCTTGGACTATGTTCTTGGTAAAGAAAGAGTGGTTATAAGCACCATTTGTGGCAATTAAGTTAAATATAAAGAGGAATAAAGATTGATAAATATGTGTGACTCAGGGGAAAACTTTTAATATTCTTCTCTGCCATTATGTCTGTGAGATAATCATTCTCCTCAGAGAATAAAGTTTTTTTAGATGTCACTAGTCTCTACAGAATGAAAAATAATTTCCCTTTATCCCCAGTTCGCATCTCATTTTAAAGTCAGAGAAAATTATTATTGTTCTTTTGTATTTTAAAAGAAAAATTAAAATCTGAGTACATAACTGATGGTGGGAGAGGTCATATAAGGCCAGATTCTAATCTTTAATACATGACACCCGTCTCCATGTTTCTCAAATAAACTAAAATTGTGGCTATTCATGCATGAACAATCACTATTTTTCAGATGGAGAACAGTGTGTGCAGAGCTGCTGAAATTATCTCTGCTCTCGTCCCTTAAATTTACAGGGCTTTTTTTATACAAAATTCTGTACTGTTTTTCTTAGAACACACAAATCAAACACAGAATCACAGAACTGAAATAATACCTAGCCGATTCAAATAGTGGGGAATAAGGATGGTGGTTGACTTCTCAGAAACCCAGCATGCTGTCACACCTTCTCAGCTCTGTCAAGACTAGAATGAAGGCTGTTTCTAAAATATGTTAGCTAATGCTTTTTTTGCTTACACACCTGCCACAGGGTTCAACTTGCCTTGCTGATGTATAAAAGTATAGCTCTCACTCTACACTAGAATTTTAAAATGTGTAAGCAAACTTGTCTAAATTTGTTATTTTAAAACTTAGATGTAGTTGGAGGAAAAGCAAAGCTTCCATTTCACAACTGGCAAGGAAATTACTAACAACGAAAACAACCCTTCCAGAAAAAAAGTAAATTACATGTAGAATTGTGCATGTGTGAACTTATAAAGTTCTTCCTCAGGGAAGACACAGAATACATAAGGCTCGTCTACTTACGGAAAGGGCTGACTATACAGCTAAAGGGTGTGAAGGTTTAATGGCCGGAGTTCTCTTCTGGTGAAGCTTGAGACAGTCCCCAAGGAGAAATAAACAGTGCCACTAAAATGATTTTGCTCTTGGTATAACATTGTCTACACTAGTGTTTCTGTCAGCTTAGTTATTTAAATTGTGGCTTTTTTAAACAGTCTTCATTGACAAAACTTTGTTATGTGCTGCACAAATGGAGTATTGCTGTATTTACATCTTAGCCTAAGTGATGGGCTAGTCTAACAGAAAGAGAGCAGACAGACCGCAGCAACTGGGGGTGATCTAAAATCCTCTACAAGAAGCTAATAATTTCTTAGTTTAATCAACAGTGAGGACTTACCAGAGCTGTCTGGATATAATTGAGAGCCTTGGGAGCATTTTCCTCCTCCCTCAAGCTGTGGAGGTAGATTGGCTGACTGGGGCTTTGGTTTTTTGCTCAGCCAAACATATGGGAGAGTCTCTAGACAGCAAAGGCTAGTAAAGGAAAATCAGGAACACTGCTAAAATGGTGGAATAGGGAAAACAGTAGGGAAAAAGGTAGAATAGGGAACACAACTGAGGAATCACTGACACCAGGTGGAATTGATCATGCTCAGATGTAGAGGAACCTCCTAGGGATCATGAGAAGGAACCAGCAGCAAAATGGGTGTTTGAAAGAGGCATCCTGAAACTTGCAGATAACAGGGCTAGAAACACAGAAAGAAATACAGAACATGATTAATTGTGGTGGAGTCATTCTTCCAGCAAATAAGTTGTTTAAATGCCCAGTGAACTCTCCACCAACACTGGGGGGAAAGGTAAGTAGAGGTTCCTAAGAGCTCTTCCATCCGTGAACACAAAACACAGAGAGGTATGGGACAGTTGGTGGTTGTCTTCTGAGGACTTCCCAAAAGAAACTTTTGGGTGTATCACAGCCTTGATGGCACAGTGGATTTGTTAATACCTTGCTAAAACAGACAGGCTAGCTGTGACCGTCAAGCCCCAAACTCCCATCTGTCTCTAGATCAAGGAAGCAGCTGAAGCAAGTACAAAATACATTTGCTGTACCAGTGTGTCTGTTCACCTTCTGAAAACTAAGGAGTCTTTTTGGAATAGACGTTTCAGGGAGGAGATGTGCTGGAGGCTGAGGCTAGCAGTAGATGTTGTCTCTCATCTTGTCTTGGGAATGAGGTGATAAAAACAACAAAAAAAAAGAATTGTGGAGGAGAGGTAGTAACACCTCTAAGGTTCACCAGGGATAGTGTATTCAAGACAGCAAGAAGTCATGAAAGAATGAAGTTAATATTTCACCTTCTTCCCTTCTCCATTATTAAAGAGATATTGAGCTCTCATGGCAGAAAGTATAAAAAGGATGACTGCTTTTGGGAAAATAATCCAAATTCCAGGAAACACATAATGGTCAATTAGTTCCTTAGTGTTTTCTCGTCACATATTGTTCTGGAAAACATTTGGATTCTATTAAGGAAAAATACTTTGAGTTCACCCTTTTGTTCTGTAAAAATCAAGTGGAGTATATTGGGAAAGGGGAAGATGAAAGGGAGCAGACCCAATGAATCATATATAGCTTAAAGTATTGGATCCCCAGATCTCACAGCCTTTTGCACAAACTTATATGCAGCGTGGTGAGGAATTTATGACTTGGGTAGGAGAAGAGCCAAACATGTCCTGGAGCAAGGAAACCAGGACCTGTGGCTGGAAAACATGCTTAATGTCATCCTATCCAGCTTGCAGTAAAGACCACTGTGTGATACAAACCCCACATACTTCTTGGGGGAGGTTCTGTTACTGTCTAGTCCACATTTAACAGTGTCAAATGTATTCAGCCCTCTTGCAGATTTCATATATATGTTGGTGAAGGATTTTGAGGCCAGTAAATTGCACACAGGTCTATAAGGGGAGAGAAAAAGCCCAGTCAGGTGGAAGGCTGGGGCATAAAGCATCAGCAGTCTGATGTAACAGAGGAAAGTAAGGCTGGTTAAAAATCCCTTTTCAATTAAATTAGAAATTTTACAGACCTTACTGTGGTATTATCCAAAGAGACAGGTGGAATTTGTATTCAGAAAGACTCTTCTTGTAGAACGCTATGAAAGGGTGATGTGCAAGTAGGGTAAAAATATACAACCTTTTAAAGCTTGCAAGAAATAGTTGGAGAAAAATTGAAGTAGTGGTAGCTAATAATGTTTGCTGTTGTTTAGCTGTCATCAATAATTCCATTTAAAGAGTGGTCTCTCCAGGGTGTGATATCTTTTAAAGAAAAGCGAACCCTGGAGAAGGCCGCATGATATGATTTATAATATGCCCTATCATCAAAGCTTCCTTTGAATGATCGCAGTAGCATTTGGTATGTTGTAGGTTCGAATCCTTCATTCAGGGTGTAGATGGCACAATGCATCATCAGACCCTCAATTATGCTTCACTCTGCTGAAGAAAATGCTGAGTGGTAGGATAGTCTGTCTGAAGGATGTTACTATATTGCATTTGAATTGCACTGTTTTACTTAACCGTGTTTTCTGGGCAAGATGTCTTTTTTGATGTACATAATGGCACCTGAGTTATGTTCATGCATAACAGCACCTTGGGGCTAACAGTGTTTCCCAGCTGAGGCTCCTCCAGAGGACAGCTTGGTTTTTGCAACTGCCGATATATAGGATTAAACAGGAAATTTCCCATGAGCACTAAGGATTTCTTTTTTTTTTTTTTTTTTTTTTTTTTTTTTTTGAGGTATTCGATTCAGGAAGCATCCAGTTTACTTACCCATCTCCTCCACTTCATGTTCTAATCTATGGATTGACTTTTATCATCTCATTAAGTCCCCTTTCTGGGCTGAGACTTCATGGCGGCTTGGCAGGAGTTGCCAATATATGCAGAGAAGAATTTTATGGTAGAACTGCTCAGAGAAGGACAGAGTGGGAAAGGCTCTGGGCCTCTTGCAGCAATGAAGGGTGACATGAAGCTTTTATCTGAAGTGGAAGCTCATTTAAAGCTGTGTTTATGATCATGCTTTTAGTGCCTTCTGAGTTGACCACAGTAAAATACAGACATCGGAGGGCAGCTCCAGGCATGCACTGAAGGTTGGAGTTATGTCAAAGTAACAAGCAATTTCCATGGAAATTAAAGCTATTTAAAAATCTGATCGAACTGGAAAATGGACTGTGATTGAGCAAAAGAAAGTGCTAATAAGAACAGAAGCTATCACCTATCATTATTTTCATGCAGATGGTAGCTAAGTCTAGTATTTGTCTTTCTGATAGTCACTATTTGCTTAGTTGCTCATTGCTCATGGTTGCTAGTTTCCTTTAGCAATGAATAAAGTATAAGCCCCTAACAGCTCAGCTGAGCAGATGTAAGTACCTTATCCTTCTTTAGAGGTATATTAGCATCCACAGCATTCGTCATTCCAGACAGTGGGACCTGCATAGATTCTCCCTTGGATTGCTGGGCTGGATAAAACATCTTAATATTCTTGGAGTCTTTTAATCACAAACGGAAGTTAGAAACCATGTCTGTGCCAGGATTTATGCTCTGGTGTACTTGGCCTGCAAGTGATTGGATCAGGATTCTTTTTCTGAGTTACTGGTCTGAAGCTGTTTGTATGCAGTGGTTTGGGCGAAGGCGAATGTGACAGCAGCTTCTACCTGTTTTGGCTTGGATGGGTAAATTGTATTCTGTATTTGTGTGGCCATTGCACTAGACACTGGAAGCCACTGTAGTGAGCTGTTGCAGGCTAAGTTCTGCACTTCAGTGAAAGGCAAAATAGCAGGTCAAGCCAATCCAATCCAACCCATGAGAACAGGGCAGAGTCAGCTATGACCTGTACGGTCAGTTTGCAGTAATCTTAGCAGTGATGCATACTTCCATTGTGGGTAAGATTTTTAAGGAGAGTGAAATGCCATAACTGAAAGGCTCACATTTCTCTAGGATTACCATAGGGCTTAATTAGATGAACTAATAAAAAGACTGGCGGTTTAAATCTACCCTGTCTATTATCCCATGAGAGAATAACGAATCAGGATGTTCTGATTATTTAGGCTGAGTAGAACTTTTCAGTCCTTTTCCTGATGAACTTCATTACAAGTTCCCAGTTTCCTACTCCAGGATCTATGCTGTCATTAGTCACTTCATCATCTGCTATGCCCTCTCAGTTCTAAGGAGGTTTGTGATTTAAAGAATGCTGTGCTCTTTTCTGGCAGAGTTTGTGCCAGTGTTTGGGCAGTGAACAGTTTCTCATGTGGCCATTGTCCAGCTCTTTTGACTCTCTGAATGTCACCTTCCACCTCTACCTCTGCCCTCCCGAGTGCTGCTCTCGGACTCCATCTAGGCAGCATTCATAATGAACAAGTCTGGTCTGGTTTTAGGGCATTCTGTCTTCCTGTGCACTTCTTTATCCTCTCGAAGCAGGGAGAATGTTTGGCTTCCAGCTAACTGATATGTTGCTGTTAAATATAAAGCTGTCCATTTGCAAAAAAATGCTTTCAGAAAGACAGTCTAAAAGCTATTCCTTTAGAGCTTCCAAACCATAAAGGGAAAAACTGATCTGTAAAGTTCACTTTTATCCTATGAAAATGAAAATGGTTGTGAGTGATGACTAAGAACTCGTCCTTTACTTTTTCTCCTCTGGCTTTACACCCAAACAGGAAATAAAAACCTCTCCATTTTCAGTTGGAACCCATCTTTTCTTAGTAATGATGGAGTAAACAGCTGAACTGAGCTGTGCTCTCTGTCTACAGATGCCACATTGAAAAGATCACGAGTGGGAGAAAACATTCAGTACATGTAGGATTGGTTTTTATGTAATGACAGGCATATTGACAGTCACTGAGATTCCATTTAGACCTTTCATGTATGTTGATACATGTTACTGCTGATAGACAGGTCCTTACTCATAGCTGAATGATTTGTTCAGAGATAGGAAGCCGAGGCTCAAAACTGTTGATTTTGTCAAAGGCAGGTTACTGGTAGAGTTCTGTAAGGACATGTATGAGATACTGTTCTGTTCAATATATAAAATAGTGGTCTAGGAAAACAAAAAAATGATGCTTGGCAGGTAAGACTGATTGCCGATAATAGTAGGGCTAGGTAATACTGGTGTGCTGGCTACAAAGGGTTGCAACAGGAACCTCCTGTTACAAAGTGATAGATCAGCTACTTGGCAAACAAGAGTCAGTGTACATTGTGAAATTGTTGCCCAGATACTCATTAACAGTGTTTTGGCGGCAGGGGGTGGGGGGAAGACTAGTTTATTGGCATCTTGACATAGGGTAACACTTACACAAGCGATCCAAGCAGGATATCTTGTTGCTGTCTGGATGGTTATGGAGGTCCGTGTTCCAAGGACCCTTGCCAACGGTGTCTTTGGCTGGATCAAATGAGATTCCCTGAACATCTGTTTAGCTCAGTTTTAGCAATGCAGTAGTCCATGGTCCTATATGACTACTACAGCATATGCATGATCCATTGCTGCTGATTATCATGATTTATGTACAGAACACCTGTCTTATCTATGTACAAACCCACTGTCCTATGTTACTGTTTCTGCACCTGCAGGAACAATTTCTACAGTGTATTTATAATTCTGTGTACAATTCGGTCAACCCTGAAGCAGGAACAGCTTGGGCAGTCTCTAGAAGGGGCCAGATTTTCCATGCAAGTTGTTAATTGACTCATTAAAACACATGAATTGATCTGTGCAAAGTGGGAGCTGCATGCGAGACTCTTCAAGATAATCCAAAATTCCCACCTGAAGCTCTCCTACACCGATTAGTCAAATACTTAACTGTCAAGGCAGCTTGACTTCAGTCAATCACCGTATTTCAGGTTGGTCCGTTATCTCATCTAGGCAGGCCCATGGGCACGGCTGTGCTACCCAACTGCATTGCAATTATACCCATAGGACAAATTTGAATTTCATGTTTGTGACTGAAGTTCTATAGGTCTTGCCACAGAGTCACACGTGTGGGAGAAAACAATTATAGTCTGGTGTCTGCATTCCTTAGAATCTCAGAAAATTGTGACTTCAGTTTTGAGGTGATGTGAGCACTGAGATTGTGAGGCGCTGAGGCTGGGAGTGCCAGAAAAGAAACCCCTACAAGCCAGGAGCAAACCCAAGAAGAGAGGAGACATGTTAGGTGTGCCTGGCCCTGCACAAGGCTGCCACCTGGTTCAGACTGGTGACATTTGGTGCTAGTGGTCCAGCTGAGAGACTGACCTTCTCTTCCTGCCCCTCAAGCTCTGGCCTCAGGCATTTGTCAGCTTGTTTGCTATTTTAAAGGCTCATCAGGGATCCAAGGTCTAACTCAAGGTTAGAGCCATCTAAGAGTGCTGCAGGAGGCAGGAGAGATCAGCGTGGTAGGGAATATTGTAGCCATTTCTTCTAGTAAAACGGGGAAGGTTGTCAATATGGGCTCCATATGCTGACTTACTTGATAAGATGAAGTAGCTTGGTTACAGTCTAACAGAGTAGAAGCAAGCTGAATAGCAGGGGAGTTTTATGTTGTGCTAGACAGGCGCAGAACATGATGCACTAGCTGGAAATCAAAGCATGACAAATTCAAATTATAGATAAGATGTACATTTTTAACAATAGAATTAATCAACTTAGAATCGTAGAATCATAGAATGTTTTGGGTTGGAAGGGACCCCTAGAGGTCATCTAGTCCAACCCCCCTGCAGTCAGCAGGGACACCGCTAACTAGATCAGGTTGCTCAGAGCCTCGTCCAACCTGGTCTTGAAAGTTTCCAGGGATGGGGCCTCCACTACCTCTCTGGGCAACCTGTTCTAGTGTTTCACTACCCTCATTGTAAAGAATTTCTTCCTTATATCCAGTCTAAACCTACCCTGTTTGAGTTTAAAACTTCTGAAACAATGTACAAGATAGGTATATATATATATATACACACAAAGATACTCTTAGTTGAAAATGTTTATATCAAGATTGGAGACCTTTCTAAAAGATATATTCCATTTTGCCTGAAAGTTGTTGAGCTTGGTACAGAAATTATTTGGTTTCATTTTGTGGTTTGTTCTGTGTTGGACCTCAGGCAGTGTTTTTATATATGTCTCTTGACATTAAATTTTTGAATACTCGATGTTAGACATGGCCCTAGCTGTGCCATGTTTTTAGAGATGTTAAAAGAAGTATGCTTATTTGGGTCGCTCCCGGTAGTCTTACAGTTCTGTGCTCTTTCACCCTCCAGCTTAGGGTATCTGACTAGATGCCACAGGTTGGTGTGAGAGGGAGTTTTGCTGTATGGATTCTGATGTTGCGGAATTAGTTCTTTCCAATACCCACTTCAGTCTTTTGGAAAGATGTCTTTTTTTCAAAAATACTTTAATTTTTAATGTCTGTATAGGAAATTCTGTAGAGTAGTCTAGTCCGTAATGAATTAATTATCTCAGGAAAAAATTTGGGGAGGGAATGTAATTTTTTTTCTCCGATTCTCTATCTCAGTCCTGTGCACAGTGCATCTCCATCTTCAGGGTGAGGGAAGATTATAACCAGTAGTACCTGTGGGACTAAAGAGTCTCCTTCCTTCTCAACACTTCTGCTCCAGAAGAATATTGATTCTGTTTGCTGTCTAAGACAGATGGTTCAGTTAAGTTCTATTCTCAGAATAATACCAAAGTTAAATTTTACACCACCTTCCCCCAATATTGTAAATAAAGTTTGTACTTACTTTATGTATTAATGCATCATTTTTCCTGAACTCAAAACTGGCTAAATCGAACCCATTTATTGTAACATTTTTCTTTGAAGGTGTGTGAAAGAACATATAACTAATGAGATGTAAAATACTCCTTTTTATAGAAGATGAAAGGTGCTAAATAAATGTTTCTGTTTTTGCAGGCTAAAGCCTATCTAAAGATAGCTATGGAAATAGTAAGACGACTGCCAGTACCTCCTGCTTGAAGTGTTTATCACTGAAACTTACCAAAAAAAGCCATCTTTTGGTGCGACCAATGCAGAAGAGTCCTGTTATCTAATTATGTAGATGCCGTGCTTTAGTTCTAAGAACTTTTTTAGGAGTTAAGTTACCAGAGGCTAAATTATGATTGTGATATTTACTGTTTTTCAAATGATTGTTTGGCCACGTCCAAATGGATTGAGGTATGCAGAAGATGATAGACAGTATTTAACTGCTGGATTGTAACATCATCAAGAAAGAAGGGATGAAGTACATTTTTTGCATGTGTCCTATTGTAAGGTCAAGAATGAAAAAAAACCTGCTCCAGCCAAGCAGAATGATGAGAGGGATGCCAAGACGTAAGTCCTCCTTAAAAAATCACATTTGCCACACTCTAATTTGTCAATTTTGGTTCAACTTTTTACTTGGTTACCTACCAAGCTGACCTTAAGTTTTGCAAAATTCTAAGGAGCAAATTCAGTTATGTAACTGCAGTATTTTTGTGTGGTCATCTTAAAATTTTAAAAATTCCACATGTACTCTGAAGAGTTCTTGTGATGACTCATGAGCAAATTAATTCATTATTGGATAATGTTCGATCATGAGGCAATTCTCAGTTTAGTGGAGAATGGATTTACATGACCCTGAGGCTTATTTCTTGATTGCTTTGCATTATAATGGATCCAGACAGAAGATTAGGTAACCAAGGTCTTCACTGAAACCCGGATGTTGTGCCCAAGCTCAGTTCGCCAGGGGATCCAAATGATCAAGATAAACTACATTTATGATTGCATATTCCTATTACAGTGCGGCAACTTGGAATTTGAATATGAAGATATATTTTTGAAGTAAAGAAAAATTTGGTCTTCAAACTGCATGGTGTTCTGGTTTGTCTTTTCACTGCCTTATATTTCTGCCGTCTTTATTTTCGTGCTGGTGTGTGGAAGTGGAATAATATGCCTTCAAGGAATGAGTTTCCATTTACAATTAGATACCTGAGTTGACATTTAGGCTTTTTCATTTACACAATCAAGTATGGGTATCTTATACATGCATCTTAACCATACCATACTGGGAATTTCACCATGCGTTGACCTCTGTGGGACCAAGATTTTCCCTATAGTCCAAATAATTATTCATAATTTTGGATGTATGTTTTTCCTTATTGAAGTGATACAACATAAAAAGTTGGTATACATTTATGTTAAGAATATTTAAGTGGCATGTACCCAGAATTTACATGGGAAAGCTAGACACAAATTAAGACTTGAATTTCAAGCTTAGGTGATTTTGTAAACATGTTAATTATGTAGTCCAAAACTGTTGATTTTTTGCTTCAGGTCATTCTCTGAACCTCCTCGCCCGCACCCCCCCCCATGAGATCTCATATCAGTGTTCAGCTTTTTCAGTAGCATATTAGCCCAGGCCTGTAGAATTGAGACAAATACTTCCTTCCTTTCAGTTGTCTAATGTATTTTACAAAAATTTAAGCTGCCTTAGTGTCCTGCCCTTTCATATTTTATTTATAACTTAATGGGGTTTTTAATTGAGTTTCATCTCTACAGATATTATTTATTTACTTCTGCTTTACATATTGCAGTCGTTAATATGTATGTCTAAGTAATCCTGTGGTTTTGGCATAGTGATGCCGTGCAAAGCATCGCTTCAATAGTATAATCGTAAAATTCATCGGAAAACCTGGGATTTCTGACTTTTTTAGCGAAAGACACTGATACTTTCTGAACTTTGGTATTTATTATTTTCGTTCTGTTAAAAAGAATGTCTCTGACACCCAGTTCATGTTGAGACTGAGTGAACAATCAGTATACAGATACAAGGTTGGTTGTTTTCCCTTTCTTTTCTTTCTCATTATTTCTTGGGTTAGTTGAGGGATGAAATTTGCTTTCAAATGTCCTTTTATTTTTACTCCTTTTTACATTTTTTTTTTTTCCTTCTAATTAAAGGCTGTGGTTTTACTCTGTTGAATCTTTGTCCTGCAGAACTATTTTGAATGCCTTTATCAAGAAACTGGTTATAATGATTAAATATAGTTTCTAAGCCAACCTGAAAATTCATATTTCATTAACATTTTTGTGGAAGGATTGCACAATGTAGTAGGTGAAACCTGATGTATCGATTAAAAATTGTCAGTCATTTAATTGTACAGAGTAAGTGGGACATTTCTGCACTTAAGGATAGCAATAGTCAAACCAAATTTAAAATGAAAACACATTTGCTTTACTTTCCTCATTCTCCTGAGTGAAGAAGTGTCTGTTTACCAGCTCTGCTCCTGCAAAGGAACTGAAGGGCATTGACACAGTGTTATTGCTACTTAATGTTACAGAAACATATACTCATTTTTTTTTTTTTATTTTACAGTACACTGTTAAATATGTGTTAATGAATTCTAGTCAACATACTAGATTTGAAATTGTAGTTCATAAAATCCCTGATACAAGTTATTGGCTTGGGGGCGGCAGTGGTTGGATCAGTCAGAGGTTGAGCAGGAGGCAGTGGCATTTAACCATAGTTTATAAATATATTTTATTATAGACTTGACACACAGTGTTGTTTGCTCTTTTCAACTCCAATATTTTACTTCAATGTCTGTGATATTTCTTAGTGTACTAGTACGTTTTTTCTGAAAATGCTAATCCTAACAATAGGACCTGGCTTTTCTAAGCTGGATGGGTAGATGCTCTTTGCTCAGGAGCAATGGAGGCTTACTGCAAAATTACTGTGATCATGGGCTACCAGCACAGAATTATTAAAGTCTGTAGCGTTGTAAGCTGCGGTTACGCACTGCAAAAGCGCACAGAGGAAGAGAAAGAAAGAGGAAGGCTGGGGAGGCATGGGGCCAAGCAGGCCAGAGCGGGGCCCGAGGCTAGTCTCAGTCCCGGGTTACCTCCCGTGTATGTTAAGAGCACGGTTTCCCAGGTCGCCTTGCATCGCTGTCAGGGTTATTTTGTCAGGGTTATTTGCTTTCCCGTTCACGAGACATCCCGTTGTATAGCGACCGCAGTTGTTTGCAGGTAATTCCCATTGTTTCTTGGGTGAGGAGCCCAGGGGCTGTGTCCTAACACAGTGCGTTCCCTGGCTTTCACCAGTTTGGGTTTTACTGCAACTCAGAGAGTATAAAATTGTTTATGTCAGTCAAGTATTTAGTTATAAAATTTTTACTGCGATGTTCAGGTCATTGTGAACTGTTGAGCCACTGAGTCTACGGTCTGTGCGTCCCTTCAAATGTTAAATTTCTCACAATAACAACAAAATTTGATATTTGAAGCAGTGAGAGGAAAGTTGGCAAATCAGTTTTCCTCCACTAATTCAATTTGAGCTTAAACTACAACCTGTTTTAGTTGTTCTGACTGGTGATGATGGTGATGAAATAACATTAATGCAGAGGGAAAGCAGCAGAAGTCGGTCATCTTTAGCGTATTAACAAAAAACTTGTAATTCTGAACTTGCTTCAAGTTAGTTCAACT